TGCGTATCCTTGACGACCGTGTAAACAATAACATCATGCTCATTGTTGTACCCATAGATATGTATGGGTAGATTCCCCATTCGACTGCTTTAAGCACGTACGCCATAATGCCGTTTTAAAACGATAATGCACTAGTATAAACAGGGCCTCAGGGGTGACATTAATGCATGTCATAATGTCAATGTTATGAGATTAATGTTTTGAATATAAAGTTTTGAATATAGAAATGTTGAACTTTTTAAATGACTCAATTTATACTTTAAAAATGAAACGGAAACTGCCATTAGGTGGCAGCAAGTCAAAGGCTTGGTTACTGAATCATTTATTTAATCGATTTTTTCAAACGGCTGATTCATTTAGGAACGAAGCAAGTGACTCTCTTTATGAATGTGTCATTGAATCATTGACTCACTCAATTTGTTCAAAAACGCAGATTCATTCATAAACAAAACACAGCTGTGTTTGAATGGAGATGCGCAGCGGCTCAGCTGTGACTTTGTTTGGAACTATTTTTGTTGAAAAAATAGAGCAAAATTAGACAACAGTGTTCCTAAAATATAACTTTTGTATAAAATATTTTTTTTTATAAAACTGTTGTATAAAATCAATATCACATTTTCCCTTTTATAATCATTTAAAATCTGTCACCTGTCTTAATTCATCGCGATCTCACAAACTTGCATTTTAATTAATGAAGCTCTCTACACTGCACACTGAATGTATTATTTACATTGTCTCTACACTTTGTTATAATGAATGACAAACTGCAGTCTACTTTCATGATCTGTGCTGTGAGGAGCAGGACGCGCACCGATAGAGAAGCATTTATATTGTCTGCAGGTATTATGGCAAAAAACGACATTGCACAGCTAACCATATCCAGCTACGTTTTTAGTCTACATTATGCTACGTTTTATATACAGAACTGGGATAGCTTTCGTAGACTTTTGAATGGATAAAATCTAGAAATCACTTTCATTTTCAATAGAACCTAACCAGTTGGAAGTGAAACGCCATCCCCCCTCGAAATTCACTCCCCGGACTCCGTCCCCCCGCATCCCCCCCATTTCCAGCCCTGTATACACGTGTGTGTGTGTGTGTATATATATATATATATATATTGAATATTTCAATTCGGTTTTATATTTTGAATGTTTCGATACAATTCCAATCTGACTTCTGACTTGTGATGCAGCCTAAATCATAATCATACAGTGTTCATTTGTTGGACAGTGGGGAATCGAGCCTGGTTTCTCCCAAGGTTTCTTTTCTCTATTCTGTCACCTGATGGACTTTGGGTTCTTGCCACTGTTGCATCTGGCTTGCTTAGTTAGGGACACTTAAAGGTCCCATATTGTACACCTTTCTGGAGTTTTATTTTA